CCAGACGGGGAGCCGGTGGCTGGCTGGGAGAGGCTTAGGGTTGCACCCCGCCTTGCCTCTTTCCGCGCCCACTTGTCTCCCAGAGCCTGCCTGCCACCTGAGGCCCGCAGCGCCGCCTCCGCTCCCAGCTGCCTTTAGACCAGTGATGGGTGTTCGCAGAGTTGGTTTCTCAAAGCACATATCCTAGGGCGCGTAATTCCTGCGTCTGCCCGTGCCTGCTGATTTGTGGCCAACATACGCGCCGTTTGTGTGCCCCTGTTTCAGTCCCCATCCTCTGTGTCTTGTCTGTTGAATTCCTGTTCTAACGTTTACCGTCTGGTACTGCGTTTTCACCGTTCTTCACTCATTGGGTCTTTGATCTCATTTGGCATGTAGTTGCTATGGTAATAACTTTAGTTTGTGGGTGGGGGATTGTGAGGGATACGCTTTGGCTATGTCTAGACTGGCATGATTTTCCTCAAATGCTTTTAACTGAAAACTTTTTCCGTTAAAAGCATTTGTGGAAAAGAGCGTCTGGGTTGCCACGGATGCTTTTCCGCAAAAGCAGTTGCCAATTTAGACACGGTTTTGCGCAAGAAAGCCCCGATTGTCATTTTTACGATCCGGGCTTTTTTGTGCAAAACAATACCGCGTTGTCTACACTGGCTTTTGGCCGAACGGGAGCAGCATAGCTTTTCCGCAAGAAGCACTGATTTCAGACAGTAGGAAGTCAGTGTTCTTGCGGAAATTCAAGTGGCCAATCTAGACAGCTGGCAAGTTTTTCCGCAAGAGCAGCTGCTTTTGTGGAAAAACTTGCCAGTCTAGACACAGCCTTTGAGAAAGCAAGTACATAGTTTGAATCTTGCAGGTTTTTTGGCATGAAAAATACAGGAATACAAAGTCCACTGGGACAAGGTTAGAGTAAGGGAAAATTATGTGGAAAAATAAGATGTTTGTTTTCGTCCCAGAAACACAATCTTTTTACTTGTCATTCCTCAGCAATAGAAGGCGTTTATTTGCATGTGTAATGCTGTCTGGAGTGTCTTATGATTGGCTTGCTTCTGACACGTCCTGCAATAGGCAACAAGTTGTCCTGTGGCACCTTAGAGATTTAACAAAAAATAGATACAGTAGACTGTGTGGACCAGCTTCCACCTGGCACTCTGCGGTTGCTGTCTCTGATGCAGCAGCCCATTTTCACAGGGCACACGACCTCCCTGTGGACAGGAGACTGTTCTGCAGCAGCAATCCCTGTCTGTGAGGGATGTGAGCTTCCCACTGACAGAGGCTACTCAGTCTGCCCGCAGGGTGGTCGTGTGCCCTGCGAACAGGGGCGGCTGTATCAGAGGCAGCAGCCGGGCAGGTGGGAGCTGGTCTGCGCAGGAAGCTAGTTTTTAAATTAGCTCCTCTCACTGATGGACTTCCTCCTGCCACCCCACACTGATGTCTCTGGAAGAGAGGCAGTAACTCAGGGTGACAGTGAGCTCTCTGGGACTGGGGCTGGAAGCGCACTGGCTGCTGGCCCTGCCTCTGGGGACTGTCAAATAGTCGTGTAACCACTAAAATATCATTGTTACATGACTCTTCAATTACATGCTGTTTAATGTCCCTAGCACAAACTGCTGCAACATTGCACAATTAGATTTCATCAATCCAGCACCAAATGTGAACTCCCAGGCTGTGTCTACATTGGCACCCTTTTCCGGAAAAGGGATGCTAACGAGACAAGTCGGAATTGCAAATGCCGCGGGGGATTTAAATATCCCCCGTGGCATTTGCATGAACATGGCTGCCGCTTTTTTCTGGCTCGGGGCTTTGCCGGAGAAAAGCGCCAGTCTAGACGGGATCTTTTGGAAAATAAAGCCTTTTCCAGAAGATCCCTTATTCCTCTTAAAATCAGGAATAAGGGATCTTCCGGAAAAGGCTTTATTTTCCGAAAGATCCCGTCTAGACTGGCGCTTTTCTCCGGCAAAGCCCCGAGACGGAAAAAAGCGGCAGCCATGTTCATGCAAATGCTGCGGGGGATATTTAAATCCCCCATGGCATTTGCAACTCCGACTTGTCTCATTGGCATCCCTTTTCTGGAAAAGGGTGCCAATGTAGACACAGCCCCAAAGTAATAGTCATATAATGGAGTCACAGACAGGGTTGGTTTGTTTGGTTTTTTTTAAGCACTTCAGCTTTCCTAAGAGGCAAGATGAGCTGTACTATGATATAAATGGTCATTTATGTGAAAAGACTGAAAATATTCAGGTTACAGCATGTCCCAAGAGACTGGTCATTCACCCAGCTGGATTTTGATCCCACATCTCATCACAGCTGATAGTCAATTTTATAGGAAATGAAGGGCACAGCACAGACCCTCTAGGTTGATGGGCATGAACTCTTCCTTTGGCCTGGTTAATCCACCTCTCTTAAAGGCAATATCTCAGTCAGTGAAGGAGTGTCTACGCCAGAGCTCAAATAAGCTATTTTGAGTTAATTTCGAAATACAGTGCTATTCCGAAATGTCCCTTACTTGTGGAATGAGGTTTACAGGGACATTGGACTAGTGAGGCCATTATATTTCAAAATAATGGGCTTGCACAAAAGAGGCAGAATTGCTATTTTCGGATACTTCTGATATCCCTAAATAGCTCCACAGTGTAGATGTAGCCTGAGAAAAGTGCTCCCACCAATATAGCATTGTCTAATTGGGGAATTAGGTCGTATGACTATATTGTTCAGCAGTGTGAATTTTTTACCACTGTAACAAACATAATTATACCAATGTAAGTCACTAGTATAGACTTAAGTAAAGATTTATTAGCTAAGAAAAAGGAATGAGAATTACTGAGAGGTTAAAGCGGATGAAATTATACGTACAAACAGGTTAGTTCATTCTGTGCTTCCAAAAGGTAGCAGAGATGTTATAATATTCCAGTTTCTCAGAAATCTTCTAGTGGTATCCAGAATAGCTCTGGGGATCTCTCTCTTTTTTTTTTTTTTTGTTTGACTCTTCTGCCTGGTTAAAAACCAGACAATCCCGAGATGAGGATTTTTCCTTGTGTCTATATTTATAGCTGGGGAGGGCAAAGGAATGCACTTAAAATCTTTGATCTCAAGGGCAAAGACCATTTGTTTTCCATGCGCAGGAATTAGCACTTTCTTGTTAAAAGGACTTCATTTTCATTACTCAGACTTCTTTCTTGTTTAATGGGTTATTTAATTACAGTGCAAATGTTTGCATTTCCATAACAGGGTATAGGTAAGTGGAAACAATGCATGTAATGCATGCAATATCCCACCAGTTTTTCATGAAGCTTAAACACTAAAAACATTCTTGTGTTGTGTGTCTTTTGAACTCTACCAAAACACAAGTGAGCTGGTCTGGCCTCTAAGCTGTGAGTTTCTCGTTTCTCAACTGTCCCGTAGGCCTTGGCCAGGGTTTCCGTTTGGCTTATCAATGTCACAATTGGCATCTGATAAATTTCATTTTATTGTAAGGTTTTGATTTTAATGTGTTATTTCTAAATAGTTTGATTATGTAACCGGTGAAGAGGAGACTCTGGGGAAATTTAAAAACCCAAATTCTTGGTTCTTCTGTGTCCTCTTATCTCAAGCACTTTACACACAAAAACTCAACCACAATTAGACCACACAGCTTCATTGTGGTAGGTAAGAAATACATAGACACCACTTAATCCTTTCTATACAAAAATGCATAAACTTAGACAAACTTCACACCTCACTCTAAACAATCTATATTGATAGATTATATCGGGATGGCCAATCCGTTACAGACGAAGAGCCAAAATAGTGTTGGATACAGTGCAAAGAGCCGCGGGAAAGTAGTTAGGCACTGCCCCTTTAAGAGCCTGCATGTGCAGGCTTCTGTCAGCCTTAGCGTCAGATCTCACTGCGCCAAGCTGCACCCCTGCCCACACAAGGAGAAAGGTCAGGGCAGGGGACTGTGGGTGCAGGAGCCACAATTTTTACTTTGAAGAGCTGCATGTGGCTTGTGAGCCCCGGGTTGGCCACCCCTGGATTATGAGACACAATCTATATGACACTGTTAAATATATATTATCTCTCTTCCTTTTTATCTCTAGGCTCTACATTTCTGCTGAAGATACATTTTCCCACTGTAAATTCATGCATCAGTTTAATATTACTGATATGATCCGTAAGCATGGTAAGTATCGCCTAAATTTTTTAACTATTTGCCATGTAGTGACATTATTTAAATAAACAAACTGTTGTGGCCCAAGAAAGGAAAATTATTTAAAAAAGCCCAAAAACTTCCCTTTGAAGACTCAGCAAACAAAACATATTTGTGTCTGGGCCATGTATGTCCTACTAAACCTAATAAAATTCCTGCAAAACAAATCTCTTTTTTTTGTCCCCAGTATAGAAATATCACTACAGCTCTGTATCCGCTATAGACAAAACCAGCTAAGGTAAATTGTTTGTCAGTTACTGCTACTATAGCAGAACACATCTACCCAGGAATCATCCCTGTTTAGTCTTTCAGCTTTTTTCATACCTCCTGCGCTGAGCCATGTCTTATGCTACAGCATTCTGTGATCTGGGAAGCTATCTGAAAATGCCTCAAATGTTTTTCACAGGGTGCAGTCCCATCTACAATTATAATTCTGCTGTTGCCAGGGGACCCATCTTAAATGGCTATTATGACATGTGGGAGTTTAGATGATTTAAAATAGGATCTACCTACATTACAAGTTATGACAGATTTATAGTGTCAGGACAGTAACACTGTAACCAGAACCCTTTTCATGGTTCTGCCATAGTTCATGGTTTTATAATGTAGGATAAACCTCTGTAATTACCTACTTTGGAGAGAGGTGGATGTGGATTGGCTGTGAAGAGAAAGGAAGTAGGGTGGTAGTTGTGGGAGTGCCTAATGAGGAGAGGTTAATATGAACCTGATTTGGGGGGGGGGGGCGGATACTGATGGAATTACAGGCTCTCAGGTACTAAGATATTACAACGGTAGACATAGGAGCTAGATAGGGTGGTATTGAGAGGTATGTGCTGTTCATGAAAGACAAAAATGGATGGTGAAGTAGCATGTATATTAATGATGAGGTAGACTGCAAAGAAATTAGAAGTGCTGAAATAGATACAATGGGATCTATTTGGGGGAAGAAAGTCAGAAGAAGCTCAATGGGATATACTTTATCTGTCAGTTAAAATTCTCCTATTATATCACAGTTCCCAGAATACTTATTTCATTAAAAATATTAGTGGTCCAGCCATAGATTGGAGGACATGTGCTACTAATAAAGGTAGCTGAAACAAAATACAAGACTATGTAGCACTTTTAAGACTAACAAGACGGTTTATTAGATGATGAGCTTACGTGGGCCAGACCCACTTCCTCAGATCAAATACAGGCAGTCCCCGGGTTACGTACAAGATAGGGACTGTAGGTTTGTTCTTAAGTTGAATCTGTATGTAAATTGGAATTGGCGTCAGCCGCTGCTGAAACTGATCAGTTTCAACCGCGGCTGAATCTGGA